AAAGATATCATCTTAGCTATTTTATATTAAAAACACCAATGACTGGCAGAATCTTCCTCAACCACAATACCATCTCCTACTCCCCATACATCTCAAAGACTGCTGAGCAGCTTTGCTTTGGTACCCTACCTCAGGAGAGGCTGTATTCCGCCAGGGGAGAAAAGTAACCTTCCCCCATGCTGTTACAAAAGAGCTTTGAGGTCCTTCTGAATGAAGGGGGGACAGGGTGGCTGGGTTAAGGCCTACTGTTTTTTAGGAACATTGCAGAGCACAGAGGTCTCACATAACCTGGCAAATTTTACTGTCAGAAGACTCATTCTGACACTTGGTTTAAATCTCCCTGCCTTAGTGAAATCCACCAATTCATAGTAAAATACCTTTCTGCAACTCTAATATTCCTCCACCTTCCTTGCAGTATTCATGTGTCAGAAGTTTTTAACTGTTATTCCACATTCTTGGTTTCCTAAAATTTGCCTTTAGAAACTCTTGAACTGACATGTGTCTGTAATAAGAGGCTCCTGTTCTTAGCCAGCAAACAAAGACAGCACAAGACCAAACTTCCTGGCCTCTCCCTGTTTCCAGCACATTACATGTTCTTTCACAAACAGCTTATTTTAACTTTTGTAAAAAGCACTCAATGTTGTAGCAAATTCAGTCTTCACAGTTGCACAAGAAAATAAATTAGCCAAGAGCAGGAAATTATACGCATCACTTTCACGAGACCATTTGCTCAGATCCTCCAGTCATCCACAAAATATGCAGAATCCCTGAGGCCATGAAATGGATGCAAAAGTAACAAGTAGGCGAAAATACCTACGAGCTGCTCAGTCAGTACAGATGCGACTTTTTGGCTTTCTAAGATGATCCTTCTCAGTAAGCTGCCTTGTGATGGACAACTGTAACTACCCCTTCTCCCTGCTGTCCGGTGATAGGACGCATGGCAATGATTCAAAGCTGCATCAGGGGAGGTTTAAACTTGACATGAGGAGAAACGGTGGTGACTTTTAACAGAAAGGGTGGTCAAATACTGGAATGGGCTTCCTAGAGAGGGGGTCGATGCCCCAAGCCTGTCAGCGTTTAAGAGGCATTTGGACAATGCCCTTAATTACACGCTCTAACTTCTGGTCAGTCCTAAGTGGTCAGGCAGTCGGACTAGATGATTGTTGTAGGTCCCTTCCAACTGAGAATGCTCTGTTCTGTTCTAGTCTTAATGTTCTGGGCTATTTTAGTCAAAAGTGTAACCAGAAGATGTTACTTATTCATTCAGTTAATCCTTCTAAAACAGAGTTTAACAGAGATATTTATGTGGCATACTTGACACTTTTGTCTGACACAGAATACCGCTGATGGGAGGTACTCACAAACAAATCCACAGGAAAGCATTTTGGAAACCAGCACGAACCCTTCCTACAAGCGGAAGCCTGCCTCGATTCCCACTGCAATCGCAGTAAAAGTGCCTTTGGCCTCTCGGCCAGTTAGGCAGGATACCTCCATTACTGTGAAACAACCCTGCAAACAAGAGACGATATTTTACCTGGGTGGGTGCATTGATAATGGAAACATTATACCCATACTGAAAGGTCCCTCCAATTCCAACAGCACAAACAGCCAGAAACAAGGTCCAGCTGGGGAACTAGAAAACAGAAGAGAGCAACGGGCATGAAAAGAGATCGGGCCTTGAACCCACATGCATATAACATCTAGGAGAAAATCACGATGAAATATATCCTGTACTTTGTTTTGAACAGTGCAGCTCTTTGCTTAGAAAGCTTCATAAACTCTCAAGCACCTGCAGCAGGAGAAACATTTCACACAGACTCTGGCCATGACCACTAATGCCTGTCAGAGGTGCAACAATTACAAGTACCCAGATCAAGTGTAGGCAACGCAACCATTGCACTGCTGACGGCATATTTACTGAACTGTGCAAATGCTCTTTGCACTAATGCTGTTCACGCCGTCTGTTTTTTATGAAAGAATGTTAGGACTGTTTATGTTTGGTGTTGGAGGCACAGTGATACAAGAAGTAACCAAATCCCAATTTCTACGACTCACATTTCATCTGAAAAATAACAATATTTTATTTCCCTCAGCAAGTCCCCAAGTTGATTACCAGATGTCTGCAAGTTAGCAGGTGCTAAATGTTAGTATCTTAAATCATAACATATTGTTCACTGATAAAAGACTCCAATTGAAAGTTTATTAGCATGTATTTCTCAATTTTTCAATATCCATTACCTAGTTACATTCCTAAATCACTATTTAGGAACTAAAATTAATAGATTCACAGACTTGCAGGTTTTAAAGTCAATAGAAACCACCATTGTGATCCATTCTAATCTCAAAAGAGTCTAACTGGTCATGAAGCATTACACTTTGGATGAGGCCTCTGGGACAGAGACTATCTCTAGACGTTTATACAGTGTCTGGCTTTCTGATGTGATGCTTCCTGACTCTACTTTTTATTGAATATGATAGCACTAAAAATAACATCCAGTTCAAATGTTTAACAACCCCTACATTAAAAATTTAGGTCCCAATTTAATCTCAGAGTATCTTTTTGTCTAACTTCAGCCGGACACAATGTCTCCTATATTAAAGGCACTTCCGTGATCAAATTTCCTCTTCCTTCATAGATAAAGACTGTACATAATTTTTTTTATAAGCCTGTACTCCCTGAATTTCTCATTGTGAGGTATGTAGACTAGCTCTTCATCACTCTCCTTCTTGGTCCAGTTCCCAGAAATGTTGAGTTAGTCCAAATGCTATACCATATTCTGAAAGAGCTGTGTCTTTCCTGAAGATAATTAATCAAAACTTCCTTCATTCAGGACTGAAATTCAGAAAAAGTTGAAACTGATCTTATTAAAGTAAAATCCAATTAGTATTTCTCTATGGTTTCCCAAGAATAAAAAGCGCTGCTCTGAATGACAACCAAAGCAATGAATTAAGGGTAATAAATACGGGCTGCAGCGAGTAAGGTAGAAAAAACAAAACTAGAGGTGGTAAATACAGGCACTGCACACTCAGACCTTTCTATTAACCAAATACTGTCAAAGTATTTTGTGTGTCTCATACCACCCGGAATCTAGAAGAGACAGGAAACAAACTAACAGAAAACCCAGAATCGTTAACAGACATCACATCATTTACGTTTTTTCATGACAGCTCCGTTCTTCCTACCGCAGTCAGCCTGCTCATTACACTAATATGTTATGCCACATTGGAGTTTGGGCCCCGATTTCTTGGAGCACGTACAACAGCCTCATCAGTTCTGTAAGCTACTTAACTCCTGATAGTTCATAAGCACTTTCGCGTCATTTCTGAAACATGCCACAAACAAAAGTCAATCGATATTCAATGTAAAACATAAGAATCAGAAAACATGCCTTTACAGCTTCCATTTTGTAACACAGCTCGGTGTCTAAGGAAAATACAAAACTTTACGAGCCTGATCATCTAATGTGTTTTTATTGAAAAGTAAACATGACCCAGCCAGAGAATTTCACATTTGTGCATCACTGTTACAGCTACAAACTCTCTGCAGGATCCATCTTCAGAGGCCAAGCCAGTTCTGCTTACCTTGCTGTGCGCGCTAGAGCCTCTCAGCAGGGGCTGGTACTCCATTCTTAGTATGGGCTGAATTTGATTTCCTTTGCAAAAGTTAGTAAACTACACTACAGGAATAAAAGGTGCCAAAGAAATGAAGTTATTATTGTATTAAAATACAGATTTTTTTTTTTTTCCTTCTGCCTCCGGCCATTAGGATTCTTCTCAACGGTTCACAACTTTTTTGTGACAGAAACGCCCAGCCTGCGCCATGCCTCACAGCGGCGGCGGGGCGCCTTCCCGCGCCCAACACCACGGCACACGCGCTTCCCTCCTCCGGGCAGAGCAGAACGCACCCGCCAGGCGCCCGCCACCCGCGGCTT